GTTTTGTCTATTTTGATTTTTAGATTCCACATATGAATGAAATCATATGGTATTTGTCTTTGTCTGATTTATTTCACTTAGCATAATACCCTCTAAGCCCATTCATGTTGTTGCTAATGGCAAGATTTCATTCTTTTTTATGGCTGGGCAATGTTCCATCCTATATATGTATCACTTCTTTGTTCATTCATCTGTTGATGGACACTTAGGTTGCTTCCATATCTTGGCTATTATTTCAATGAACATATGGATTCACATGTCCCTTCAAAGTTGTGTTTTGGATTTCTTCAGATAAATATCTAAAAGTGGGATTACTAGGTCCTTTGTCTCTTGTTATGCCTTTGTTTTAAAGACTACTTTGTTTGATATAAGTATTGCTACCCCTGCTTTTTGCTGTTGTTAATATTTTCATTAAAAATCTTTTTCCATCCCTTTACTTTAAGTCTCGTGTGTTTTTCGATCCAGTCTTGCACAGGCAGCAAATGTAAGAGTCTTGTTTTCTTATCCAGCTAGGCACTCTGCATCTTTTAATTGGAGCATTTAATCCATTTATATTTAAAGTAATTGTTAATAGATATGTACTTATTGCCATTTTATTATTCATATTTTTTTATCTTTTTCTTCTTAAAGAAGTCCCTTTAACATTTCTTATAATACTAGTTTGGTGATAATGAACTCTTTTAGCTTTTTCTTATGTGAGAAGCTCTTTATCTGTCCTTTGATTCTAAATGTTAACTTTCCCGGGTAGAGTAATCTTGGTTGTAGGTCCTTGCTTTCCTTCACTTTGATTATTTTGTGCCAGTCCCTTTTGACCTGCAAAGTTTCTGGGAGTTCCCTCATAAGCTCCTTATGGGAGCTCCCTTGTAAGTAACTAACTGCTTTTTTCTGACTGCTTTTAAGATTCTTTCTCTTGGCATGTTGATTTAATGATGTATCAACCTCTTTGGGTTTATCTTGTTTGGGACTCTCTGTACTCCCTGAGCTTTTATGCCTATTTGCTCCACCAGATTAGGGAAGTTTTCTGTTGTTATTTCTTCAAATAGGTTTTCAATTCCTTGCTCTCTCTTTCTTCTACTTCTGGTACCCCTATGATACAAATGTTGGTATGCTTGATGTTGTCCCAGAGGCCCCTTAAACTTTCCTCATTTGGGGGAAGGGAATTCTTTTTTCTTGTTGCTGTTCTGATTGGGTGTTTTCTTCTACCTTCTTTTCTAAATCGCTGATTTGATCCTCTGCTTCATCTAATCTGTTGATTCCCTCTAATGTATTCTTCATTTCAGTTATTAATTATATTCCTTATTTCTGATTAGTTTTTTTTATATTTTCTATCTCTACTTGTATTTTTCCTATCTTTTTGTTAAAGTTCTTACTGAGATCATTGAACATCCTTATAACCAGTGTTTTGAACTCTGCATTTGATAGATTGTCTCCATTTTGTTTAGCTCTTTTTCTGGAGCTTTGTTCTCTTCTTTCATTTGGGACATGTTTCTTTGTCTCCTAATTTTGGCTGCCTCACTGTGTTTGTTTCTATGTATTAGGTATGGCTGCTATGTCTCCCAGTCTTAGTAGAGTGGCTTTACGTAATAGGTGTCTGGTAGGGCTCCGTAGCACAGTCTCCCTTATCACCTGAGCCAGGTTCTCTAGGTATGTCAGCTGTGTGGATTGTGTGTGCCCTTCTGTTGTAGTTGAGACTTGATTGCTCTAGGCACATCAATGAGAGGGATTGACCCTCAGGCTGATTGGTTGTGAAGACTTACCATGACTTCAGTGGAGGAATTGTTTTGCAGGGGCTGACCCTACAGAACAGGATTCACTTTAGTGGGTCTCTGGTGCCTGCCAAGTCTGCTTTTTAGATTGGTCATTTGTGGAGATGATTGAGTGGTTCTCTGGTATAGTCTGAAGCCGACCACAGGACTGTTGGTTCTGGGGCCTCTTAGGAGGGGCTCTGGTGCAGGCCAAAGTCAGCTGCTGCCTGTGTCCTGCCTGGGGCCACTTGGTATGAACTACAAAGTGATCTGCCATGCGTGCTTGGCTTAGAGGTGCCTAGGAGAGGCTAAGCTGCGAACCAAGGCCGCCTGTTGTTAGTGCTGGGTTTAGATCTGCTAAACAAGATGTACAGGGCATGCTGAAGTCAGATGCCACTTGTTTGGGGTTTGTGAACCTTTGAGAGGTTTTAGGAAAGTCCTCAGCATGTGTTAAGACAGGCCATTTGTATGGAAAAGCCACTGGAAGCGTCTTAGTTGGGCCTACAAGTTGAGTGAGACAAGGTCTCAGGAAATCACCAGAGCGGAGCAGACAGTGATATCTAGATTGATGGAGACTCAGATACGGTGCCCACCTGCATGTACAGGCTGGGTGGTGAGAGAACTTAACTGAGGAACAATGGCATCTGCCAGTACTTCTGTCTGAGAGAAAGCCGCCCCTCCAGCCCTTTTCCTAAAGCCAGATAATTCAGTCCTCCCCATATGTCCCAGGTGCTTCTCGAACAGCTGCCCCAGTGTTGGAACTCAGAGTGAGTGAGTCTGTCAGTAAGGCCATGTGTGGTCCCTTTAAAAGGAACACCTAGGACTCCAGTCATCCTCTGTCTCACTCAGCCACAATCTTTGCTGGTTTTCACAGCCAAAAGTTATGAGGACTTCTCTTCCCAGCACTGGAACTTTGGACTGGTGTGGGGCTGGGACCCCTCGCTGCCCAGGGGGGACCTCCATGGCCAAGATAGCCCTCTCAATATTTAACCGCCACATGTGGGTACAGCACCATCCTATTCTGCATCTCTGTGCCTCCTACCAGTCTTATGGTGGCTTCTTCTGTATATCCTTATTTATAGAACTTTTGTTCAGCTAGACTTCAGGCGATTCTCCATGATGGTTGTTCCATACTTTAGTTGAATTTTGAGGTATTCATGGGAGGAGGCAAGAATAGCATTTACCTACTTCACCGTCTTGACCAGAAGCCCTGAATTCTTAAGCTTTTACATTTTCCCTGGTTCTTACAACTCACCACACTGCTGCTGGAAATCTCTCTTTTTTTTTTTTTCCAGAAAGTAGTACTGCAGCTCAAGTTCATAGTTTCTGCCTTGCCTACAGAATCTGTTCTGGTTTTCTGAGAGCATTCCATTTACTGGAGCTCGCTCTCACTGCACTCAGGAACACACACAAGAAGCCATCTGCAGAACACAGAGAGGTTGGGGTTTAGCACTTTGTGTGTTAAGGGTGTCTGCAGGTCCAGATGGGGGCCCCTTGGTGAGGTCCTCCCAAAGGCTGTGGGTGGACTTCCCACTGAAGTACTGAGCACGTCAGTCAGCCTAACCGTGTTCCTTTAATGCCCTTTAATATCGTCTGCCTCTATCCTGATCTCCTACCTCCCCCCAGTCATGGAGGTCCTACCTCATAGTACGGGTGCTGCTAGAGAGAGGGGGGTTTTCCAACAATGTCCTGCACAGCTAGGGAAGCCAGGCACTCACTCACTGTTCTCCCTTTCCTCCACCAGAGAAGGCACTGCCCACTAGTTCAGCCCCTTGCAGTGTTGTCTTGGGGGAGAAGGCACCAGCAAAGTTCCTCTTTCAGTCACCAATATGTCAAAACTCATATATATTTTTTCTCCAATGATGTGCTGGAGTAGCCCTCTGTAAGACTGGACTTCCACAAAGTCTCTCATCTGTTGATTTCTGCCAAAGTCAGCACTCTTCAGGCTTTCCCTGAACAGGGCCCAGAGGGGTTGGGGCAGGTTCACTGGCTCCTGCTAGTTTTGAAACCCTTACTGAGGTCTTTCTGCCTATTACTTCCTCCCACATTCTTTGATGTATGGGGTACTTGGTCCTACAACTCTCAATGAGACACTTTTGTTTGTAGACGGATACCTATTTAGTTGTTTTAAAAGAAGGACAAAAAGGAGTGACATCTCACACTACCATGTAGGTATCACTCTGGACTTAATGTTGGAGACAGTAGAATCATTGCTGATGATTAAAAAGAAAAATTATGTTATAACTTGTATTAAGATTAATTTGGTGTTTACATTTTTATTAAAGGAAAAAGTAAGGTTTCTAAAAATGTTATTTCTTTTTTATTAAAAAAAATATTCACATAGAAAAAACTGGAAGAAGAAACACAAAGAGGTATATAATAATATAAATAATTTTAAATTCTATAAATGAAACTTAGTCTGCTTTAAAAGAGCACTTTCAGGGTTATTTTCAATAATTTTGTGCAAGAAATTTCAGTAAATTATGTGCAAGAGATTGGAGAATTTCAATATTAGAGGCAATAGGATTAGAAGGAAGAGAAATGGTTTAACATACATTACAGAAGTATGTCATATTCATTAGACAAGATCGAAACAACCTAAAAATATCACTTTCTTTCTTCATCTAGAAAGGAGCCAGGTCATGACAATTAGCCCGCAGTAGTCTTGGGAACTCTTTAATGTATTTTGTCAATAGATTCCTGTAAAGAAAGAGCTGGTAACTAAATGGAGCTTTCAGATGTTTTCTGAGTTGGCTTGAGGAGGCTCACCTGCAGAAGTCCTGTGGAGGGAATCTTGTTAATGTTGCTCAGATCGCAGGGCAATGGAAGCTTTATAAGTATGAGAATCATTGATTTCAACCTTTACATTATCTGTACAGCATGGACACCAACTCTTTCAGATGACAAGATCTTGGATGGCATAATTGCACTTAATTTCCCATCCAAAGAGTTTCAGGTGCCTCTGGGTGTTAGTTCCAAAGACTGCATTCAAAGAGCATAGAACTTATTTGAAAATATTTGCTCTTGTAGATACAAGAAATGGTGGGTGAAGAAAGGATAAAGCACATATTTTCTGCTAGATGTTCCTATCTTAGTGAAACTCATTTATTCTTTACATTGAAAATTTTCTTGCGAATCACACAATGAAGTTTGTGGGTCTATATTGTGAATATATACTGAAATGTCCTTGGTATATTATCCATTTTTCTGAAGAAAAGGCCCTCTTTATATAATATTTATTATATATTTAGTATCTTATGACCACCAATGTGTTCTAGCCATCAATTTTCTCATTGCCTGTTTAACTTCCTTGTTTCTGAGGCTGTAGATGATGGGGTTCAACATGGGGATCACCACCATGTAGAACACAGATACCACTTTGTTTTGTTCAGTTGAGTAGCTGGACTTGGGCATCACATAAATGAATGTTATGCTCCCATAGAACAGAGTGACCACTGCGAGGTGAGAAGTGCAGGTGGAGAAAGCTTTATGGCGCCCCTCAGTGGAATTCATTTTCAAGATGGAGAAAAGGATGTAGACGTAAGACAGAGCAATGATAAACACAGTGACCACAATGATAGAGCCAGAAGAGATGGCTGGAATCATTTCAGAAATAAAATCCTGAGAACAGGAAAGCTTCAAAAGTGGTGAATAGTCACAGAAAAAATGATTGACTTTATTTGGCCCACAAAAGGATAGACTTAATAAACAGCCAGTAAATGTCCAAGCATTCACACATCCACCTAGGTAGGACATCCCCACTAAGAGAATGCAGATTCTGGGAGACATGTGGGTGGAGTAGAGCAGTGGTGAGCAGATGGCTACATAGCGATCATAGGCCATGGCAGCCAGCAGGAAGCACTCAGCTGTCCCAAATGTGACCCCAGAACAGAGTTGGGCTACACAGCCAGCAACATGGATAGAGGTTCCTTCCCTGAGGAAGCCCATGAGCATAACAGGTGTGACTGATGAGGTGTAACAGATGTCTACAAAGGCCAAGTGGCAGAGGAAAAGGTACATCGGGATATGAAGCTGAGGGCTGCTTCTGATTAACATGATTATGCTGCCATTGCCCATTAAGGTGACAACATAGATTCCTAGAAACACAATAAATAAAATGACACACATTGTAGTATCCTCTGTTAACCCCAAAATAATGAACTCTGTTACAGCTGTATAGTTTCCAGTCCCCATCTGTACTGAAATGGTGCCCACTGAAAGCAAAACAAATTGATATTAGAACAGAAGAAAATATTATAATGTACATACTTATATTTACAGAGGATATATAATAAATTACAAAAACATGACACTCTAGTGTAAATTTGGTAAGAAGTGTGTTCATACTTCATGTAAATACCTCATGTAAAACTTAATAGTAATATGTTTATTTGTATAAGGCCAGGAATACTTGGAAAAAAATTTTTTTAACTTTACCAACTTAACCCATATTTTCATCATGTTGTTAGGTTTTAGGTATTTCTTTCTTTTTTTTTTTTTTCGGCAAGGCAACCCTTGGTTGACCTCACAGATTGCAAGGACCTTGCCAGCTTACAATCCCTTATTTTTTATTTTATGCCTACAGCACCTGATCTTCCTAGGTGGTCTCCCATCCAAGTACTAAGCAGGCCCGACTCTGCTTAGCTTCTGAGATCAGAGAGAATAGGGCTTGTTCAGGGTGGCATGGCCATAGACAGGTATTAGGTATTTCTTGAGCAATAAAGATCAACTAAAATTTTAGAAGAATAATATTTATTTTTCTTCAAATATTCATTATCAAGAAGATTGAACTCACACACACACACATGCACACATGCACAGACAGCATCAAGCCATGGGCTCAGCCAGCTATATGTCACAGTTTTATTCTTAATAGAAATGCTTGAATAATGTTATTGTGAATTAAATGAACTGTAGAAAGCCACAACACATTATGAACACCTTGTAATTATGAGTCTGAACTTCAATTCTCAGCTTCCTTATCTTTGTTCAGGGCAGACCTGGAACTTAATATTAACTAAGTGTGGACCCTAGACTGAATAAAAGCTTAAAAATTTAAAGAAAATAGATGTCTTTGACACAAATTTAGTCAGTCATGAGTGCCGTTATGACAAGGAAACAAAGTATTGTCGAAAATGCCATGAGCTTCGGAGCCATACAAGCCTGGGATGAAATTCCAATATAGCCATTGACTACCTACAGAATCTTAGACAATTTACATAGACTCTTCAACCCTTCATTACTTTGTTAAAAATATATATACTTCATAGGATTATTGTGTTGAATAAAATGATGTACATGATAACAGCAACCACGGCTCACAAAGGTAAGTGGATGCTCAACAAATGATTATTTCTTTAGAATAACCAAAACTTAACTTCTAATCAAAAATGAGAAAAAGCATTTCTGTATCAATATAAAAGGAAAATTATTACCTCCAGGTGTCGATACCTCAGCAATAAGGACAAATGCCAAGGAATTGTCACTGTAGAGCAAGGCTATATTTATGAGATTTGGGGTCTTTTGGGATATAGCCCCTTGAGTACATTCTTTGTTTGTGAACATTCCAGTGAAAATCTATCAAGACAGAGAAAATTATAGGTATACATGTCTTGTCTAAGAACATCTAAACATTGTTTTGAGGGTGCAATAGTTTAAGAAAAATGGATTGGTAAATCATTCTAATTATTTTGGGACCCACAATAGTAAACATAGTGTACCAGATATAATATTAGTTTTTTTTTAATTTATTTTTTAATTAAATTTATTGGGGTGACATTGGTTAATAAAATTACATAGATTTCAAGTGTGCAGTTCAATAATACATCATCTGTATATTTCATTGCATATTCACCCCCATAGTTATAAAGGGGTCAAATATATAATTTCTTGTCAAAATAGAAGTCTTTAAAGGAAAAATTAAGTGATTATTTTTTATATATATTTCTAGATGATGCCACCTTTATTTTTTTAAATATTTTATTTTGAGATAATTGTAGATTCACGTGCAATTGTAAGAAATAATACAAAAATCCCATATACCCTTTACTGAGTTTCTCCAAATGGTAACATAATACAATAGCGTTTTGAAAAGTTTGTCATGTTATATCCCTCTCTGCCTCTAGTAATTTTCTTTGCACTGAAGACATTAACTCAGCCACTCTTGCTTTCTTTTCATTAATGTTTACCTGCTATATCTTTTTTCATCCTTTAACATTTAGCCAGTTTATATCATTATGTTAAGTTCTATAATAATTAAGGAGATGAGTATTTCAATTTTTGTTTTTCTCTTCAAGTTACGTACAAGTGTGTTTTAAGCTTGTACATTTACAAATTAAGTACATGGGAGAGTAGTATCCAAATAAATAATAATAGTACAATAACAAATGCAAAAGCAATACAAAACATGGGCAAAAAAAAAAGAATTTAAAATTTTTAATTGGGCATGAGGAAGTATGAAGCAAAAAGATCCCCATAGTCAACTACATTTGCTTATGATAAGTTAAAACGTCTGGAGACAATTATAAAGCCTAGCATTGTAATAATAGCCTTGAAACATGAATTAGTTAATTAAAGCTTTAGTTCTGCCTATGCAATTGGTCAACAAAGTATATAAAGTCATATTGAAAACAGCAGGAAAAAAAAGGTTGTGAGGGTTCAGTCTAGTAATGAATGTTGTGCTAGCTCTTTGAATGTCTGTCCATGTAGAAAGAGGACACACCTGCAGTACGAGTCAAATAACAACATCTTATTATCTTATTCATTCATCTTTATCCATCTTATTATCATGCTTTAAATTTAGTATGAAGAAGTCAATAGCGCCCCATATTTTAATATCAAACTTACATTTTACCCTGCACCATGTATAGCCTAGAATATCTTCCCTCTAACCAGAATAAAAACTCATAGATTTACCTGCTATGAGTTACTTAAAAAGGCAAAATTGACTAGGAAAGGCCACTAACTATGTCTCCAGGTCTGACACAAACACACTTCTATTCTAGTTTCCTCCTCTGTGCTATGTATTAAGGAACTTGGCAAATGCTGAGAGACAGAAACATACTTTTTAATTGGAGAATGCTCTCACCTTAGCTCTCTGCCTTGCTTTGAATGCTGAGGTTGAGGGCGGTGTTTTGGCAACAATTCATTAAGGGCGGTTCTGAATCGCTGTAATTAATGACCTTGAGGACCAGGCTCTAATCTCTTTTCCCTAGTGGCCATGAGGAAAGACCAGATGCATTGATAAAGTGACCTGGCCACATCAGTGTATTGATTTACCCCAATTTCAATTCAGAAGGGGATGGGAAAGAGAGAGAGAAAGAGAGAGAGTCCTATAGGACCATTAGAATATTTGGTCACTGACCTGGTTTTGAATATGATTTTATTCCTTAATTTGATTCAACGGGAAATATGTAACAGTAGGAAAAATGATAACAGTAGGAGAAATTAAGACTGTTTTTCTCTTACATCATCTGTTGTAATAAATATGCTAGCCAAGGCCGTCTCTTCTTGCAAGCAAAAATGTCCCATAGGTGTATCCTAGTCATACAATCTTTGCATAACCTTATCTAATTCCCTATAAAACATTAGCTGGACCCCCACCCCAGCCACAACTTCAAAGCCACCCAGTGCAGATGTCCTGCCAAAGGCAGTTAGGCTGTCTCCAAGCATTCAAGGACTTGAGAGTCATCCTGAGAATATGCACCAAAGCATTATAACCTGATCCATCATTAGTTACCAGAATGATTTGGGGATTTTAATTCCCAAGGGTGGTTTAAATCAAATGTAAAATATCTCACAGAGACTCTGTAGAAGATGTTCCCTTGGTATCCAGGAAGCTCTGGAATAACAAAAGATAACAGACTCATTACACCTTAACTTTATAAATACTCACAAGTCAGTGTGGAAGACAAAAAACAAGCCTTCCAGCAAAATATGAAGAAGCCTCTTTTTCTGATTGGAAATACTCTAAGTGGATGCTTCCTGGACACTGGGAATCCTGACTGACTGTCCAATAGGTACTCAGTAAGTTCTATTCACTTCTAAGGCTGTTGTAGTAAAAGCTATAAGGCAGCCAAGAGAAGGGTTTCAGTTCTGGGACTGTGAAGAGGACACAGAGCTTTAGTGTGCTTTGCTTCTCAAAGAAGCAAATGGGGAAGGACTGGTTGACTCTTACTTGGAAAAACTGGGATTTTTTTTTTTCTGTCAGTATATTCCATGAGGAAACAATAGCAGGGACCTGTTAAACTCATGAAGCCTCTGAAATTGCATGCAAAATTTTATGAGTGTAATTTCTTAGGAACAGATACTTAGCTTTCATCAGATTCTCAAAGTAGTTCATGTGCCCCTCCCTTCCCAGAGGTTAAGAATATTTCCTAGATTATTCAACAAAGTAGTCTGAATTGTTCAAGCAATGAATAGTAAAACACAAAACAACACTCTGAATTGTCAAACATTGACTATATTAGTAAAACAATAAATGTTACAAGCGACTACACAACGAAAAAGCATCACTGAACTCATCCTAATATGCTTAAAGTTTTCTCACAAGAGTTCAAATTGGTTCAAAAAAATAGAAAAAATAAAATCATGAAATTAATAAATACTGAGGAATCATAAATGGTGAGGCAGTATGATTTAAGCTGAGGGCTCTGGAATCAGCCCACCTAGTTTCAGATCCTGGCTCATGTACTTTATCTATTTTGTGAATTTGGAAAACTATTGAATATTTCTATGTCTCAGATTTATTATTTTCTTTTTCCTGGTATTTGTCATCAAGCCTAATTATATTCTAAGAACTGTTAGCCTAAACATTGATGTTATCAATAAGCTTCAATCTTAATTGCCCTTAAAGAAAATCAGAGTAATACTGGGAAGAAAGAAAGTTTTTTGAAATGCAGAAAAGCATCTTCCTAGGATAAATGATGAATAAATATTTACCTAATGCATTTTTAAAATTTAGAAATTAGAATGCATTAACCACATCTTAGAAATTTCAGAGGCAAATGTACAATCACATCAATAATAACATAGTAAAAATCTATCACACAAGAGCTGTTGAATAAACCAGAGTCTGCCCACTGGCTTCTTGGGTTCTTTCAGAGTTACTAAACCATTACATTTACCAAACCAAACCAGTCACAATCTGAAGTGAGAACCACTGTACAGACAGTCCCTGACTTATGTTGGTTTGA